ATATCAATTGGCTAAAGTTGTTTGTTTGGATAACTAGACAATAGACGGTTTTTCCAATATTCGATTTTCTGTCTTGGCAAAAGACGGGAACCACACAGTGGAACAAATAACAAAGATTATTGCTTGCAGGAAAAACGTAAAATTAAAGGACGTGTCGTTTCGGAGATCAAAGAAATTTCATTCTGATAAAAGATTTCGTCGTCTGCTATACCAAGCATTAAAAACCAAATAACACAAAAACCTCAAACGGCTAATGATAATATATTTTTTTATGATGAAAAAATCTGTAAAAAGTAGACTTAAATTTGTTTTTTTTATATACACACACATACACCAAAACCCTCTGTAACGCAATGACCATTGCTAAATTTGAACAGTGTGGTATAATTGTAATAGTGATCGGGAAACATTTTGGATTCAGCCTAACACTACAATTTAGTTTAAGGGTCATCACATCATCAACACAAGAATGTCCTCAGTTCGAAGATAGGTTGGATATCGATCTCCACTCCTTCCTGATCTGTCCCAATTTTCACGTTTTCCGAAAACTAGAATATCCCACATATCCAAATATTTGCCAAAAGTAATTTAATCTAGAAACTACCACAAATAAAATACTTCGAATTATTTTATTCGATTATGGAAACGTGCCTATCACGTTGAGGTTAGCTACGCCGGGATTCGTTTCAGCAAGTATATCCATATATTTAAATGGACCTTGTTGGAGCATACATAATCCTAAAATGCAGCATCGTACTATAGATGGCGTTTACCGCGCCATTTGTGGCAGTTTCTAAAACGCGCTATTAAGGCAGCAGGTAGAAGTTGGTCTGTGTTCTGTCGGAGCTACCTGCGACGCGCTAATGAGATCCAAAAAGATCGAAATCGCGATCCGCGTCTGGCAGTTTCAACAGAATACAGACCAATTCGAATTATTTTATTTTTTTTAATTTAATCTAGGTCTTCGCCTACCTCTGCCTTTTACCCTGTTCTTAATTCTTATATATGTCTCAAACTAGCCATTAATGTCTCAGATGACGTTCTACCACCACGTCTCTCCTTTTCCTAATTGACATTCATAACGCTGTATGTTCTCCTACATTCTCCAGTACATCCTAATTTCTAACCTTTTCTATCCGCGGTAGTTTCACTATCCTCCTGTAACAAAACACCCCAAATGGCTCTTTTTTTTATTCTGTACCACTGTTGGACGGGTTTAGGGCTTAATCCGCGACAGGTTATCGTTAGTTGCTTTCCTTACAATCTAGCGCGCGACGAAAGCACGGAAAACGAGAAGCAAATTAATTATTATGTCAGTTAATGAGTATCTGGAACAGGAAATTAAGACAGGTGCAATTTAATCTTAATTTGGATGAAAAAGGACGCGAAAACGTTGCACGAAACACGCTGAATATAGCGCGAGCAAAAAAAAAATGAAACGGTGTAGTAGACGAGGTTTTGTTTTCCTTGAAAATTACATTTAATTGCTCCAGTTAGTTGGGGTCTGTAAACCGTTAGACAATAACAGTTTCGTCTGGTGCTGTGCTAGAAAATGAAATTGAGGTAATTGAATGCAAACGGTGTTTATTTGTTATGATTACATTTTCGTAAGCGAACAGATTATGCCAAATTTTAACGTTTACTCTAAATTGAATGCTTCTTTGATAAATATGTTGAGAAAACTGTAAGTTTAAGAGCGATTAAAGCCTTAATCCTACTGTTAATGCAGATATTGAACGTTGCCTTTTAGTCTACGTTAGACATCTTTGAATGTTTTAGCGATGTTTAGTTATGCGACTAGCGCAAAATGAGTTGAGTTTCTCTGCCAAAATCTTCTAAATGAGTTAATAGTTTAACATTAATGTTTCTTACCATTTTCAAGATTGCAGCTTGCTGTTAGAATCGCATCATCTGTAACAAAATAAATACAATATTACTTCAACATATTTTTGTTTTAAAAAGAACTTCTCGAACTCGTTGGTGAAAGTAGACCAATCCGCATAAAATATATCCATTTGTTTTGTTGAAATCGTATGATTTTATCTAACTATAAAAAAATTAACAATTTCGAATTTAGGATAGCTTACGTTACTTCTCAGTAAACAACCGACGAAAATAAGTTTAAATATATCTGTTCTACCCAAATATACTGTAAAATCATTAGGGGGCGGGGTAGTGGAGTCATTCACCCCGGCTGTTACCCATAAACGCAAAAAATAAACATGAATTATATTTAAGCAACTGAAATGTAAACACAAAAACAAGAGTATATATAAATACTATAAGATCGATAATGACCTACACGGCTGAGACTAGACCTGACACATCTAAAACAAAAGAAAATTAGTAACAGCAGAAATGCATGACAGAGAAAGGGATGAAAATATAAGGAGACTATATAAAGTGGAAAATATTACAGAATGGACATAAAACAGGAAAAGAGAATGGAATGCACACAAAAAGAATGGGTCAAAAAGGATAATCAAGAAAGTAATGGAGCAATAATTTGCGCCCTCAATAGACATTAATGATGAAGAACAGGCTCAAGCCTAAGTAGAAGAAAGTAGAGGAGGAAGAACTAAAAACACATTTTAGCATTTTCCATTAATTTTTCCAATTATACATACATTCATTCCTGTTTATTTGACCGTTGTAAGATGATCATCATCATCATAAGGTCGTCAGTCCTAAGACTGGTTGGACATGCACCTCCACTCTTTCCTATCCTGAGCTAATCTTCGCATTTTCCTGTAGCAACCCACATCCTTAACTATTTGTGAACAGTAATCTAATATAGGTCTACCTATATCCCTCCTAACTCCCGTTTCTGTCTCTAACTAGACCTTCAAATTATGACAGTAAATCACATAGGAAGTTATACCCTGAGGGTGCTCCAATTGATAGCATGATGTAAAAGTTTAATAGATTTTAATGAATTTTGTCATCTGTTGGAATTTTCATTTAGGTAGCAGTCTGCTGTTGCTATTTTGTATTTATTGATTTATGTTGTCAGTCAGTTCTAACATGCAACTGAGCCGGAAGTAGAATGGAACACAATAGACTGCCATCGAGGTAATTGGCTTCGTTGTCGCGTGAGCATACTAAAAGCGGTTTGAGAATATGAGGTCATTGAAAGTGTAACGCAATTTCAAAAGCGCTACTGAAACCGTACGGAGTTTTCGGGAATTTTGGTCGAATTGCATGACGCGTCGGGCCCCGAATTTTAATGTAATTCAATAGTGACAATTTGGTAAATGCTCTCGCAGCCAGTAGATGGACTGATGCTACCTTGTTTCCGGTATAAAAGACGTCACCGGTTGGAGTTGCTTCCTAACGTTTTGCTAGCATGAGTGGCAAGATTCATCAGAGGTTCTTCCATCTCTGATGCTCCAAACCGAGCGGCATGGCCTAGAGGTTTAGACCATTGCTTAGCATTCGGGAGGACGCCGGTTCGATTCCAGGTCCGTCTGCCTTGGTCCAAGTTTTTCTGTCGTTTCCTTGGATCACTTAGGCAAATGCTGAGGCAGTAATATTCCACAGATAATCTTTCATTCTCTTCTGTCTTCTTTTATCCGTCTCATCTTTCGCACCCGAACCACCGATTCCTAAAAGCAGGCTGAAGAGGGCCTTTCGCCCTACCTTCCGGCGTAGTCCGGAGGGACTGCCCGCCCATCAGTATTACTGGCTGGTGGGAATGAAACACCCAAAAGCTTTTTAAAGTTTTTTTAGGAGTTGCTTCCTAACGTTTTGCTAGCATGAGTGACAAGATTCCTCAGAGGTTCTTCCATCTCCGATGCTCCAGCATTCCACGGAGGGACCTGTGAAGAAGCTCCAACCGACTACTCGAATCAGGACAGGATTGATTCAATAGTGTTTTTAAATACAATATGTATTACCTACATGAAATCTCAAATAAAAAAAAAGGTTTCGGAAGCACAGAGTGAAAGTAAATTTAACTCTTCAAGAAGATTGAAATGCCTATTAAGTTCACTATCATTTGTGAAGTATCGCAAACAGCGTGATGAACGCCGTTTGAGACTTTTAGACGTTTAGTAGAAATCAGTAATTCGAAATGCCGGGAACGCGCTGATAAGATCCAACAATATATAAATCGCGATCAGCGTCTTCTTATTGTTCTTATTTGTTCAATTTGGTTATGTGCCTATCACGTAGGGTGAGCTACGCCGTGGATTCAGTTCAGAGTCAGTAGATAGAGAGAGTAACGCAATCGCCCAAATCGGCGCCATGTTTACTCCACTTGGATATATACAGTATAGGATGTTTTTCAAAATTTCTTTGACTAATCGAATGTCCATCGCCTATCAATGTGGCAATTGGAGTAATCATGGTCACCAAGTCGGCATTCAGCGGATCAAACAATTGCGCTGTTCTATCTATCTACTGGCTCCGTATTTAGTTCAGCAATGATCCATAACATAAATGGACCTTACTGAATTTACATTAATAAGAACAACCGCCGAAATGTACTTATGCTTTAACATCATAGCAAAACCCAAAAGTCTGAAACTATATACCCTTATTTGCTAAAATATAGGTATCTACATTATTTATTTAAGGAATGTGATGCTTCCAAAAATCATTTTCTAATTTAAGTTGATGATAGAACACTCAGACGACAGCCTAAAAGCCACGACCTCTATTCAACCTAAGCAATTAATTTAAACTATACAGTTCTCATTTTCTTATTGAAATGAAAATTATGTCGCGTCAGAGTTGTATTTACACATTAGCATATTACAGAGCAAAACGTGTTAAGAATAAACGTCGCCTTTTTACTGCAAAAGTAGTCATTTATTCATTACTTACCACTAATATGACGCACTGGATCAAAACCGCTTCTATTTCCATTTCATAAAATTAGAGCAAGCAGAGAGTAAAGTAAAAATTAATTACACTTACTGCTCACATAATGATATATCATGTTCGTTGCAAAATACTTAAGGAAATTTTTTTTTTATAACTTTTTCTCTTTATTCCAGATTTCCCTGGAATGTGCTTTGCAAGCACAAGATGTGCTACCGTGGAACCAGGTAAGACATGGGATTTGACTCCATTCTGTGGACGCTCCACCTGCGTTCTTTCTGAAGACAAACCCCCAAGGCTTCTCGAACTCGTTGAAGACTGTGGACCACTTCCTCTCGCTAACCCCAAATGCAAACTGGATGAGGGTGAGTCATTTAATCCAAAACTATTCTTTTTTGGTTGTAGTTTTACGATGGCTTCAAATGAAGGATTATTTTAACAATGAAATTCACCAAAATTTACCCATCGGAAACAGAGATATGTACATAAACTAGATTACGTCTATACACCTCTTGAAACCAGCGCAATAGGCAACCAAAATTTCGTAAAGTGGCATAATATCTGCTTGGTTTCATCTAAGAGATATTGACCGACGGAGAGTTAACAAATAATTAAGTAATTTGAACTTTGACATATACAGTTCATCATCATAGGGTTGTCAGTCCTAAGACTGGTTGGACACGCACATCCACTCTTTCCTATCCTGAGCTAAACTTCGCATTTTCCTGTAGCAACCCACATCCTTAACTATTTGCGAACAGTAATCTAACCGAGGTCTACCTCTACCTCGCCTAACTCCTGTTTCTGCCTCTAATATATCTGACTAGACCTTCATGCCTGAGTAGGTGTCCTACCAACCTATCTCGCCTATTTCTTATTAACTTCAATAGAGTCCTCTGTTCTCCTATTCTTTCTAATACCTCTTCATTTCTAACCTTTTCTACCCACATTATCCTCATCATTCGCCTATAACACCACATTTCGAATATACTGTTACTGAAGTATTAATAATACAAATGTCAAATCTTTCCCAGAGATTACTGTAAGACAAAAGTCCAGCTAATGTTGGATATATACATATATATACTTTATTGCGACTGTGAAACCAAAACTTTATGATGCTTTTCAGATGGATGGATCTTTTGCTACTGTACGTAATGTTGGTTGCCTTCCATGTTAGCTTAATTTTCATAGAAACTATGAACCCTAGTTGTAAATCAATGAATTAAACTCATACTTCTCTAGTTTTCTGTATTATCCGGATAATCTATCTAGTAAAAAGCCTTTTCGACTTAAAGTTTGTGCAATGTTCTCATTGGAGTTTTTATTATGTTACAGAAAGAACCAACAAAACTGCTCCTTTCCCTGGTTGCTGCCCCAACTTTGTATGTGAAGATGGTGTTAAATTGGAATACCCCGAAATCCCAACGGTGGCACCGCTACCCGCTGAAGTAAATGAATCGACCACCAGTTCTGCCGCTGCTAAGGCTTAATAAAACCCATTTTTTCAAATCTTATCTTAATTTCTATTATCTTCCATTCCTTCCGCTTTTCTTCGCAATTAATAATCAATGAGCAGGGGTTGACTCACCGGATTTTTTTCGAATAAAAGAGAAAAAGCACGACATTGTGTAGATTGAGGCTATATTTTAAGACCATCAGGATAATTTAGTATTTAGAACACCCTGTCTTAAAAAAAAAGGGAAATAAAGTGTAAACATTAGAATTGTACATTCCGTAGTCTCTAATGATTGTCTGTCCATCGTTTGTTTTTACTTTTATACTCTTGATGTGCTTTTGTTGTTTTTGTATTATTGTGATAAACGTTTGAATTATATCTAGCAATTGGTCTCCGATTTCTACAGATTGTAAGTAGACTAGATTTTATATTAACGTAAATTTCAAATAAAAACTAATTTATTCGAATTGTTGTTTTCTTGAACTTATATCTCTTAATAAAAATAATTCAAATATTTCCCTTAATTAGAATAAATTAAAAAAAAAAACGTTGTCTTATTGTTAATTTAATTATTGAAAATTTAAAGTGGTTGAAACAGGTTTTGAAAAGTTTGAGAGCTGGTTATGTGTTAGTAACATGAAAGTCAATAAAATTCTTTTGGCTGAAGCTACATTTGTGACGCCAGTCAGATATTTTACGAAAACTGCATGGAGCCAACTGGGCTATTTTATATGGAATGCGAATGTTGTGAACCATCTTTATCTTGTTGCTTTTCTTATGATTACTTTCAGAAAGTTTAAATTCTGTTGTATTTCTTTTAAGTTCTTCTTCGTAATTTAATAACAAAATCGAAATTGCATTTTTCGAAAACAAAAAAAAAGAATGTAAATAAAAGCGAAGATGAACTTTTACATTCTGTACCAATTTATTAAAGTAACGAATAAGTTATTTATATGTTTCATCATCACGTAGTAGTTATAATTATTACAATATGTAATTACACGACAATTTAGCAATAACAACCAAGCAGCATGTGATGCTATAAAATATTCAAAGTCGAATATTGTAGAAAAGATTGAAAAGGAGTCTCGTAGAATGTATTTCTGACGTATAAAAACCGACTTAGGCTAAAAAATTAAAAACGGGAATCATCCCCTAATTTTTTAGTCTTAGAGATAGGGTAGGCACTTGTCAGGACTACACCCTGAATACATCTTCTATGAGGAATAAACCGTGGAGATGAGCTTTAGGGTATGATTGGATTGGGTTTCACACTTTCATTCAAATTTTTCGTTAGAATAATCCTATATCATGTTAGATTAAGTCTATTTTTAAGTCTTTGATATCATCTTACAAGTACTACTGAAAGAAATTGCTTTATTAAAGTAAATTCATCAACTGTAACCAGAAGTGTTGATCTGCACCAACAATGACCGTTGTAACTCATGTTTATTAAGAGTTATAGTTATCCAATGATTCTAATAGACCTGAAACGCTGTATGGAAAAAATGGAGCGTCTCTTATCATCACGTTATTTTCCGCTCTATAGTTTTCGTCTACTAGTCGCTTAAAAGTAATCCAAATCATGTCCCTTTCGGAATTCTAGGATGACAATTCGTACCAATCTTGAAGACGTGATCATCTTCTTCTCACCAAAGTCACTGGTGTCTAAAGTCTCTTTTGATATTGATCGGAACGTAATTTAGTTTAAAATGGCAAGGATTATATACTTACATATGTATAAGATCATATATGTTCAATGTATGTCATTTATAGAAAAGCAGACATTTCAGAAATATCATCCACTCAAACTGTTCTCACCAATTTTTCAGGCACCTTGACGCTGTTCCTGAACACGGTTAAAGACACGTTTGCTTTAAAGAATCGCCCACACCGACGCGAATGTTTGTCGCTGCGAATTGTTGCGGAAGCGGTACTGCAGTGAAACTTTGGTCTCTCACATAAATTCGAGTTTTTGTGACGACAATAGTATCCAGTGTAGAACTAACAATGACTTCCTGTTATTGGCACATAAATGAAGTCGTTAATTTTTTTCTCAGAGTATTAAATACAATTGAAGTGGATTCTCTTACAGATAACTTTACTGGAGAACACAACAATTTAATTATGTAAAACGTAAAGGCTGTCTATATATTTATATATATAAGGACATACGTCCATACTGTTCAATTGCTAGTGTACGACTCCTTCGAAACTCCTCGAGTCGCTCCTCCCCCGCAATCATTATCTCACTCTCGACATCCCCAAATACTGCGAAATCTTGTCTTATTGTCTCATACTCTATAATTTTTATTCTACAAATCATAAAAGATATAGCGGTTCCGCGTCTGTTGGTATGAACACATTAGTATATGTACTTCCGTGTATATTGGTCCAGTAGTAGCACATAGGTCACCCTTGCAGAACTTCCGCGTCAGTGTGGGGAATCCCTTATTATTACTGTGGCGGTGTAACGCATCCAAATGGCGCCCAGTCTAAGCGACAGACAGTGTTATTGTTGGAAATAAATTTAAATTTAGACGTTAATTGTCTTTCACCCATCAACAAACGGCACGTTACATAAATAAACCGTCACACCCACAGGAAAATTTCTTTCTTATTCTCTTTCGCTCTGTTTTACCATTTTTTTGCAAGTCTGTCTAAAAGCATCTAGGTAAATATGTGGGATGCCTTTCATTCCTCGGAGAGAGCATTGTTTCGCCATTATAAATTTTAAAATAACCCCGGATGCCAACGTAAATAGCAATGCGTTTAAAAAAGAAGATGCGCCATTTGGTTGGAAAATGTGACTTTATCTCTAATAATAACATGTGATACACTATACTGGAACAAATGGTATGAATGTAGGTGGTGATTGATAGAGAAAAGCAGATGTAAGGATGTTTCATCAAAGTTTCATAGAATGTTCCTGTAAATGTGACTTTCCAGCAATGAGTATTTCTGAAAGCATATACCTACATATATTCAATTAATTTACATGTATTCATTTTGTCGTTTCGTTTATATAAGTGGCGTATACGATGCGAGGATTCACCTCACCCAAAAAATTACCGCAAAAGCTTCTTCTTTTCCCTTAATTGGTCAACATTAATCTAATTTAATTTAGGTTTGCCTCTACTCCTCTTAATTCCTCTTTCTGCTAATAATATTTCTCTAACTAGCCCTTCATGCCTGAGAAGGTGTCTTACCAACCTATCTCTCTTGTTAGTTATTGACTTCCATAGTGACCTTTGCTCTCCAATTCTTTGAAATATCTCCTCTTTGCTAATCTTCTCTTCGATGCACAATCGATAAATAATTGAATGGGATGTCAAACAACAGACTCGAAGATTGAAGATCAAATGCAAACTCATTCTTGTATACTATCGTAATCTAAACATTTGAAAATGTTAGACAATTAGATCGAAGAAATGAATCCGATACAACGTTTTATGGTCAAGAAGCTCAAAGTTAGTCAAACAATTATAAGAAACCATATCAATAAAACACTTGACAAAAAGAAAAGAATTAAACCAAAACATCACCAAATGAGACTAGCTCACCTTGCAGTCCGGTAGGCTGGGTTACAGCGGTACAAACTTTTGAATGTTAACAGTTCCATCGTTTACATTCAATTAATTATCAAGTACACATCAAAGAGAGCATCATTTTGATGGATTTAGCATAAGATATGATTAGAAATTAATAAGTTGAGTGTCCTTGAAATCACCTATGTTTTACATCAATTCTCCTCCATGATACAGTATGTTTCTAACTAGCTGATCATGCCTCATCAGGTGTTCGATCCTACCATCACATCCCTCTTTTTTATTATGATGTGCTAAGACGGAAATAATTCCCATCAAATAAACTCACAAAGAGAAAGTAAAGCTGGACGAACCACATAATAATTCGATATTTTTAAAATTAAATATCTAGCTATTTTTCCGTATAATTCGTCCGACAAAGTTCAGTGCGGCATTTAGAATTTTAGGAAATCTTACACTAAAAGATTTACGAGTGGATTATTGAATGAAACGCTTTAAACACGAAATTGCGTTTAAATTTAACATTTTCTACGTTATCGCTTCATATTTACTTAGATATCACCATCCGACCGGAAATACGTTTCTCGATGATTCTAAAATAAATAATCTTCTCTCTAGATGTCACAAAATGAAAAATAAATAAGTTTGTGGATTCAACATTACTTTTCAAACTACCTAACGTGAGATGTCATAACGAATCCCACGTTTAAACTTGATATAATAAGACCCACGCCACAAAAGACAATGGAAAGCTGAGTAGATAGGTAACAAAAATAAATATTGAATTCAGCAACACTAACAAAGATTCAATCGTGCTATCTAACGTTGGGAATACCTTCAAGAACGGTTGCCCATTGTATCCTTCCAAGATATAGCTCTCTCTTACTCATGTTATACCAATTGGAAATGAAATCTGTAGAAAATTTTTTATTAAAATTAAATCATTCAACGAATATGTACCAATATTACTACCGAAATTTCAGAAACATGGAAAATGCATCATTCATGCGTTTACGATCATCTAATGAAGCTGGGTTACGAAAGTAAGCCCGATATTTGAATATCACATGAGCTGAGAAAAGTTCATTTGACAAAGAGAAATTATAAATAACATGAAGATTATGGTCTCAGTATGGTGGGATTTTAATGATATGGTGTTTACAGGGTTCTTGCCTGCATACGTTAAACAATCAATTAGGAAATGAATGTACTGCCAGCAATTGCACAGATTGAACGGATTCATAATCCGGAAACGTCTAGAGTACGTCAATCGTGAAGGAGCGTCGTTTTACCACGACAACGCCAGTTTGGTGTAACATTAAATTCCCATCAGGGCCGTCTTTAACCTATTGGAGGCTCTGGACACATAAGCCTACAGCTTTGGCAGAGAATTATTTTGGTTTGTTATTTGTTTCTTTACATTCACATAAATGAATAGATAATTGTAATATGACTCGAAAAAGTAACTCTAATGTCATTTTCAGGTTGGTACTTAAAATTGTGTTTTTTGATGAGGCACCCTTTTAGTTTTCTGATATGCAAAATCGTCAACCAGTTCTTCAAACTCTTTGTCTTTGAACATAATCCCATTCTATGGACTGAACGATTTTTCTTGAAGCATTGTTCGGCTTAACTTATTTTTTATTCTTTTCCATTTAAAGAAGGAGCGTTCGCCACTACAATTAGTTACCATCATGTTTAAAAA